TATCCCAGCCCCACAGCAACACCACCGCACTATATTATTATTTATATTCTTTTTTCTTATTCTACTATAAATGGTTACTACAGATCGCCGCCCGCAAGATGCCATTTATTGACGCCGACACGGTCGTCGCGCTGGGCGACATGCTTGTGTCGCGCGCCAAAGAGTGCAAGCCGGACTCCTACCACCGGTACCGTACCTTTGTACCAGCCAACAGTGCATGTTCGCTGACTGACAGGCCCACCCCATCTGTTCAGAGACGCGGAGTACCAATCGGCGTTGTCGGGCGCCTTGATCGCCTTCCAGACCGCGCTCAACATCAACCCGCAAAACGTCAGGTGCCTCATGGGCTTGGGCGACATCCATCTGGTAAGGGGCGAAGATCACGAAGCACGCAAGAAGTACCAGGAAGCCATTGCGGCAGAGGTGAGTTGTTGTTGTTGTTGTTGTTTGGTGGTTGTTGTTGTTGTTGTTGTTGTTTGGTGGTTGGTGGTTGGTGGTTGGTTGTTAACTCGAGAAAACTCCTTACAGCCAAGCGATGCCGAAGCGTATGTCAAGCTCGCCAGCACCTATGGGACAAAATTCTTTTCGTCCGATTCATCAGAGTGCGTTTTCCCCCCAGCCTCATTGATAGAGTTATTCGCACACACACCGACACGCACATGCACACTTACACGTGATGTGTTGTTGACAACGCATATGTCAATGCTACAGCACTGACGGTAAGATTCGGGAGATCGCTCTCCGTAAGGCTCTGGAATGCGACCCGCAGCATGTGGGAGCGCTGATTCGCCTCGGCGATATTCTCCTGGACCGCGCCACCAGTGCCCTAGGTATGTTTATTTTGTTCACTCAGTTTGTGACTTGCAGGCTTAGTGTTCACAACCTCCACTGCGCAAAACCAGACAAGAATGAGGAGTATGAGCAGTTTGTGGATGAGGCCGGGTCTCTCTACGGCGCGGCGCTCGCCATCAAGTACGTGCCTCGCCCCTGGGCCTTGCGACTTAGTAACCAATGCTCGCTTTGGTTACTAAGTCACGTTCATTCCAGGCCTGACAACTACGCATCATACGAAGCCCTGTGCCATCTGATCTCCTTCCTGTCCCATAGCGGTGGGCACAGCAAAAGTGCGCACCAGCACCCTCCTCTCCCTCGAATCCTAGTCCTATCGCAACGTTTGAGAAACTGACTTGCCGTTATCATATAGACAGCACGTTGAAGCTGCTCTGGAGCTTGACGAAGTCGAATGAGCACCTGAAGAAGCTCTGCGTGCATGAGTTTGTACGTCTCTACGTAGTGCCTTGTGCGTTTTTTGTATTTTGCAATTTGTTTCTCGTGCCACCGTTGGTGATAGTCAAGTGTGTCACGTCCTGATCAGTGGCTCACCTCAACTCGGCGTTGCGCGCAGGCCAAACTTGAACAAATTCATTTGGGACAACTCCCGACGATCAGCGACCTTGTCTTCAACGTGGTGGCCGGCAATGCCTCCAGCGCGACCGGACTCTTCTCAAGTAAGCGCGTGGCTGATCTCGCGCCAACGCTCTGCACTGACTCTCAGCCAACTCTAACTCGTGTCGTGTATCGCTGCGGCGTGCAGTTTCGGCTTGGCCGAGGAGGGCGCGATTCCTTCTCCGGCCGAGGCAACAGTTCGGGACTGGCTGCTCGCTCACCCAAAGCCGTTGCTCCATCTGCACCTGGTCAAGTGCCCGCAACTCGGGGATGAGCTCTTGAAGGCCCTGGGCGGCTCCGTTCACCGGTACGGATGAGGCCTCATGGAGATTCTTTTTCCTTTTCTCTTTCTTTTCTTTTTTTGTTTCAAACTCATTGGCTCCGTCCGCGCAGGCAATCACTCCAAACGCTCTCGCTGGCGGGCACCAAGGCGATCACCAACGAAGCGCTGCTGCAGCTCTTTCAGAAGGACGGCGAGAATCAAGCTGACACCTGGCCCAGTCTCACTGACCTCGACCTGTCCTCGCTCCCCGCCGTGAACAAGGAGGTACGTGCGGCCACATCCCCTTCTCTCAGCAACGCCGGCGAGAGTCGATGTGACGCTGGGCTTTGTATTAACTGCCCTGCTCTGCTGCTGCGTAGGTTCTGGCGGCAGTCGCGACTGCATGCCCCGCGCTTACGACGCTCAAGTTCCAGTACGCGGATGTGGGCGACGAGGTGGTGGAGGTCCTCCCCTCGCAGCTCACCACGCTTTTCTTGGGCGGCCGGTATACCAAGGACCCTCTCTACGGGGCCTTTACCCAACGTCTCACCAGCCTTGTCAACGTCTCCTTCGCTGTACGCTCCTTTGATTTTCACACACCACCTCGATCGACCTTTGTGTTTGGGTGTGTGTCTACGCGTATGCGCACGTGCAATGCGATTGTGCGGTATGTGCGGTGTGTGCGGTGTGGTGTGTCACTAATGTTGCTACCCGGCTCAACTAATACAGAACGTGGAAATACTTTCCTTTGCCGATGTCTACTCCCTGGCCGCAGCGCTGCCCAATCTAAGGTGGTGCCAGTACCCCAGGGGTAAGGAAGCCTTCCCATTCCCCACCTTCCCCCACCCTCTGCCCTTCGATTTTAGGCTCTGTTGATCAGTTCTCTTTGTGCGTGCGTGCGTGTGGGGTGCACAGGCGATGTGAACCACTGGTCGGGCAACTCGAGCGTCACAGTAAAGTTCAACGAAAGGGGAGCGACCACGTTCCAATTCGACGGGGCACGATTTCAATTCCTCGCTGTGTTCTCCAGGCAGACCATCAACTAACACCACTTGGTCACCACTAGGTCACCTATCAAATCATGAGCAACGGCGGGTCGACTTCTATGAGAGGCGACGGCACCATCGTCAGTATACAGGGGAGCATGGCCGGAAGGTGCGCATCCCTTTCCTCCTCCACGGCCCCTCTCGCGTGTTACCGCTGCCACGAGCAGATAATGACCTCTCTCTTCTCTCCCTCATTCTCTTTCTCTTGGCTTCGGCGCAGGTTCGTTTTTCTGGGCACGAACAAACTGTTCGATGCGAGTCACAGCCCGCACGCCGGCTGGCTCTACAGTACGCTTTGCTATTATGCGCATTTTATTGGGATATGGCTGTATCACGGTGCAACGCGCATCATTTAACATGTTGCTGCTGATGTTGTGGTTTCAACAACAACAACAACAAAACAGAGTACGCGGTGCCGGGTGCGCGGGGCGTTTCCTCCATCAAGTACAACCAGCAGATGAAGCTGTTCAACATCGCTCCTGCTGGGATCGCGACCGTGCAAGTGATGCCCTTTGCCAACTTGGCCAACATCACCATTCTGCCCCGCCAGGACATCACCCTCAACCTTGCGGCCTTCTATCTCGCCTTTGCCCACAAGTGACCTCGCCACAGATCCGGCTGGTGGGCAATAAATGTTGTTTTTATTCTTTTATTTATTCTGTTATTCTTTTTTTTTTGCTTTTTGTTTTGAGGACCACCATGGAGGACGGGGCGTTCGCGGGGCTGGCACGGAGTATGCCGCATACGTGCAACCTGTGTAAAATAGTAGCTTCTTCCACTGTGCGTAGCTCCTCTTGTGGCCCTTGATTGTTTGAAATGCTCATTTAAGATGAATGTGCATTGAAGGTGAAGCTCTTGGTGTGTGGCAGGTGTAGAGCGACATGGTACTGTGGCGCAGCCCACCAGAGGCTCGACTTTGCTCACCACCGCGAGATCTGTCGCACTATCCACGCCCTCCGCCAGCAACCACTGGCCTCACCCGTACGCACCCCACCCCCGGCCACGCGGCGAATGCGCGCCTGGTGCCCTAATTGTGCCACTGCAGAGCGTGGCCGAGGTGCGTAGGCTGTTGGGCGACGTGGCGCCGGAGGGCAGCGAGGAGGCGCTCCGGTTCACACTGCACAAGCGCATGGAACTGCAGATGGCGCAGCGGATGCTACGGCGCGAGCTGCAGCGGAACGAGTCCGAACTCATCATGTTTCAGGTCTCCTCCCTTTGACTGTCCCGCCTCTGTGTCAAGGTGTGCTGACCCGTGTGCGTGTGCGCGTGACAGGACAAGTGCGTTGTGTGCTTCGAGGGCGGGATTCACCCCATCAAACCGCAAAGTGCGCCAGTTGTGCTGTGCCCGTGCGAGGGCTGTCACCTCGTTTCCTGGTGCCAACACCACAAGAACCACACCGAATCCAAACAGCAACACGTCAGCGTACGTTTGTCGAACAACTCTCCTTCTCGCCCCTGCAGCTGCGGTGGTGTACGCTGACACGTCCACGTGTTGTTGGCCTCTATCTAGGCGTGCCCATCGTACAAGCTATTGCAGGAATGTGAGCGACACGCAGCCCAAACGGGCGAGCCCTATCTGGGGATGTCTTTCCCGCCCGAGGCAGTGTACCAGGCCCTTCCCGCGGACTGGGATGGCTACTTTGAGCGGCGGGGCGGCCACACCGCAGCAGCGATGACCGATGGTACCACCTGTCTTGTTTAGCGCCATTCAAGTCTTGAGGCCTACTGACCGCCCTAACCTTCACTGCGCAGCACAAAAGGCGATGGTGACCAGCTACCTGTCAATCCTGCTCACAGTCCTTCATGCCCTGGAACAAGTCATTGGTACTGTGTGCAGCACACACTTAAATACTCACTAGATGATTTTTACTAGAGCAATGCAACTGATAACAATTCCACATGACCTTTCAGGAAGCATGCAGCTGCAAGACGCAGCGATGCTCTGCGTTCACCTCCTGGGCATGACCATCAGGTCCAAGTACATCAGTACATACATGTCACTATCTGTGTGGCCCACCCACACTCACTGCTTTCTGGCTGACTCATGAGACACGCCATTGACCCAGGGTTTGAGAAGTACCTGGAGATTCTTCACTGTCTGCCTGCCCTCAAGTGACTCAATATCTGCATGTACATTGTCAGCACCACAACACCACTTACCACTGTGCATGGTGGGGTGTCTAACCACTGCTGTACCACCCTGTGGCACTGTAGGACCACCACCTGATGGTACCAATGCAAGTGCCCTGTAGGGATGCCCAGGGCAACAAATCACATATACTCAACATTAGCATCCATCTGGCCTTCTACCATGACTTTGCCACATCAGTACCACTCTCCCACCCCACAGGGATTGGGTGGTTGTTGTTTATAGTGGAGTGATCTCACATATGAGGCTTCTTGGGTCCATGGCCATCCAGGGTGAGTTCACACAACTGGATTTGGTCCTTGGGCTGAATGCAGGCCTGCATGAGCAGCCCTTCTCATGCATGGCCACCAACACTTGGCTGCCCACCCTGCAGCTGCTGGCTGACAAGAGCATACCTGCTGTCTTCACCTCCTTCACCCATGGTGCTCACCTTGGGCATCATGTATGTGTTGCTATATACCTGTATCAACTGTGTTGTGTGTGTACTGTGATGCATTGCAGAGGAGTGGGAGAAGGACACTGAGGTGGCCCAGAGAGCCTGGGCCAGGATCATGCTGCCAGGGCAGCCCAATCCCTGGCGCAGCCTGCAGCCGCTCCAGGAGATGGAGGCGACCAACACCTTCTTCTACCTTAACCACATCATGTGGGCCTTTGTGGGCTGCCAGCCATAATGTCTCTCATACTACATTTTCAGGTTCATCCTCGCCAAATAAAAACAAATATTTGTTTGTGACTGCGCTTGAGGTGAACCCTGGGGCCGTGGCCAGCACTGCACCGCCGCCCTTTGCGCCCCTGCGCGCTGCCGCCATCGCCCACCAATGGCGCCTCCTGTCTCGCCAGCGCTGGCGGCAGCCTGTGCGCAACGTTGGCCCCTTGGGTCCATCGCCCCTCATCCAGATCAGCAGCGGCATCATCGGTGCACCCTTTAATTACTTATTCTTTTTATACCATTTATTTATTATTATTTATTTATACTGTTTATTTTTATTATTATAATTATTCGTACACCGTCATTTATTCTTCAGGACTTCGCAGGCGAGGCGCTGCTGGCGTCGTACGTGGAGCAGGTGGCGTTCGAGCACGACCTGCTGGTTCCCTCGGCTGCAGCGACGGCGGGACTCGGTGGCCTGACGCTCAACCACAAGATACCGCCTCGCGCGCTCTACGGTCTCGGCTCGCACTTCAGGGAGTCTGATCCCGGTACGGAAGGCGGAGCGAGTTACGATGATGGCGACGGTGATGATGATGATGATGATCTGCGTTCGCCTAAGGCCTCGATTCCTGCGATGTGCGCTTTCTCTCACAGGCCGGTCCGATCAGTCGGTGGTGGCCCGCGCGGTCTTCGCCGATCTGGAGTACCCGGGCATGGGGACCTCAGAGCATCCCTCCAGCGTTCTGTTCGACCGATCAAAGTGCGTTTGGCGGGTGTGGAGTGCGAGGGTGGTGGCGCGGTGATGGTGTACTCTTACGACGTTCGTGACCACTTCCACCACACTCAGCTGCTTCCACACGACCGACCATACAGTACACGGCTACTGGTCACAAGGCCACTACTTGGAGGGCGCCGAGTCCCTCGACGATGTGCTCGACCTGGTCAGGCGGGAGGCCGAGCGCGCCGACACGCTCCAAGCCTTCCAGCTCTTCCACGACGTTGCGGGTACCCCAACCACACCAAATAATGCCGAGAATGTGGTGCTAAACGTGTGTTGACTGGTTGGACTGTTTGGGTGGGTGGCTCAAGGTGCCTGTGGCGGCGGATTCACGACCTTGCTCCTGTCTCGCCTGCGGGAGGAATACCCCGACACTATGATGTCGACGCTGTCCGTGATCCCCGCTCCCGATATGCCGCTCGCCGTTGGCCCCTGTATGTGTGACTCCCCTTCTTGGGTCCTTCGTCTCTAGCCGCACGCACACACGCACACACGCACACACGCACACACGCACACACACAATACTGCTTGGATCATCTCACACCAATGGGACCTGGCTGGTGTGCAGATAACATCGTCCTCACTCTGCACCAGCTGATCGAAAACGCGGATCTGTGCTTCTACGTCAGCGTAAAGGTGCCTTTTTGTCGCTCGCTCTAGTGCTTGTCTATGCTGGTGAGCAAAATCTGATATTTCCTTCTTCTTTTAATGATTGTAGCGCGCCCGCGGCCTCTGCGGGCCTTCGACCAAGCCAATCGACCTCATCGCCCGCGCTTTCGCCGGCGTACGTTGTTGTCTGGTCCTCCATAGTCAGCTGACACCCAAGGATCATACCACAGACTCACGCGCCGCTGTTGATTGCTTGTGCCGGTCCAATGCAGGTCACGCACCCCCTGCGATTCCCCGCGCGCCAGGGCAACTACGCGCCGAGCTCGCTGCGCAGCCTCGCCCACACGCTGGTGCCCTATCCGCGGCTCCACCTCCTCTCGCTCAACCACGTGCCCTCCTGGCAGCCGGCGGCGGCCATGACCCCGCGCGCCCTGGTGGACACGCTCTACTACTACGGCAACCTGCTGGCGCCCCGGGAGCAGTGGGTGTCGGGCCGCCTGCTCGCCTCGCACGCGCACTTCCAGCTCGAGCCGCACACCAGCAGCGCTGGTGTGGTCAGCGGCATCGAGGAGCCCCTGGCGCAGATGCATGACATCACCACGACCGTCGCCGCCGAAGGCCAAGGAGGTGAGGCCGAGCCGCCGACGACGACGACCGATAGACGCGATGAGGTGGTGGTGCCGTGGTATGCGCCCTGGGTCGCCGACAATGCCAAGCACTCCTTCGGGCGGTGGCACCCGCGACCGAGCCTGTCCTTCGGTAGCCGTGAGGCTGACGTCGGGAACGACAGCTGCGACGGCCACGACCACGGGCGAGCAAGGCAGTCGCCTGCCACGAGGCAGCTGCACGCTCGTCTCCAATTCGACCAGCGTGCGACACTCCCTGGAGGCCTCGTGGGAGATCTTCAACTTCATGTTCAGGCGCAAAGCCTACCTGTACGAGTTTTTCCTCACTCCGCGCGCGTAGATGTGGATGTTTTTTCTTATGGTGTGCGTGTTCCATGTTCATGCTCGGGTCGCAGGTACTATGACCGCGGGTGCGACGAGATGGAGTACGCCGAAGCCAGCTCAAATGTGCGTGACTTGGTGGACGAATACCAGGAGGTGGCCGAGTACGACAGTAGAAGCTGAACGCAAAGGTCATAGCTGACGTGTCAGCATTTCTTTTTGTTTTTTATCCTTTAGGTATTACACCATTTGGGCGATGTCGCGGGTGCAGTCGATGGAGCTGATGGCCGGGAAGGTGGGCAGTGGCCGTGCCCTTGCACAGCTGGCACGTGTGCCCGCCCTTGCCCTTGCGCTTCTTCAGATCGCGCTCGTACCTTTGTAGCTTGTCGGCTTGCTTCTTAGCGGCCCTGGATGCGGCTGACTTCCTCACGCTCCCTGGCGGCAGCGAGCTCGGGGCACAAAACCCACCGGACCGCAGCCTCACTTGGCACCGAAGTCGAGTCGTATGTTCACCACCAGCGTCGTCCCGTGGCGTCGGCCTGGCCAACGCATACGCATCACAGTAGTCTGATGTCCCAATCGATCTTGATCGCGATCGGCTTGCCCAGGGCAGCCGCGACCTTCTTCTCGGCATTGGCTGTCTTCTTGTTCACCTCCGCCACCACCACGGCCTGAAGAGAGAAGAGCGAATGAGTGGACCGTCCGTGAATTGGGTGGTTTGGCGGCAGGCGGGCCTCGATTGCGAGCTTGAGGTTGAGCGCACGCACAGAGGCCGAGAGTGAGTACGGCATTGGCCGCCACGCCAACCCGCCTCGCCTGTGGGTCCAAAACAAGTTGCACCGACTGACGCACACGACACACGACCGCACATGGCACCATAACACACGACCGCGCGTGTAATCGGTGAAAAGGCGACACTACACGCATGGCGTGTAAGGCGCGGTTCCTGGGCGTGCTGGTTGACGGAAGACTTGGCGCTGTCGAACTCGGTGAGGTTTCAAGGCCAATCGAAAGAGAGAGCGACGGGCTTGCCCGCTGCCTCCATCCGCTTGGCGAACTTCTCCAGCGCCGGTGCATAATGCGTACGCGAGGCAAAGCAGTTCAATGTGAATTGTGCGCGTGTGCGGTGGCGCGCGTGTGCGGTGGTGAGGGGGGAAATGGCTGTGTACCCTCGGCGGGCGTCGGCGAAGCAGAGCTGGGCCTGGAGCTTGTTGCAGAAATCGTAGAGCGGAGAATCAGTAGTCGTCCATGTTGATGGTGAACGCGAGCGTGCCAGCGTCGTCGAGCTTCAGAGTGTAGGCCTTGCCCTGATCGCGCCCGAGTGGTCCGCGCCTTCGATCAGCGACTGGCCGCACACCTCCATCAGCCTCCACGTCACGAGCTCGCACTTCTGGTGGGCCGACCTGGCCTGGAACTCACGCGACGACTTGAAGCGCGCAGTCGATGACGACATCGACGGCGAGGCCCTTCGAACGGAGGCGCTGCCCGAGGGCCTCGAGCTTGAGCTTGCCCGTGTGCAGGGCCTTGGCGACGGAGAGCTCAAACAGCGCATCGAGCTTGTGGTAGAAGGCGTAGGTCGGGCGGTCGAGCGCATCCATGTAGTAGGCCAGGCAGAGCTCGGCTCCCGAGAGGGCCACGCTGTAGCACCGGCCATACCCGCTGCCGAAGGGGTCGCTCGTGGCGCTGGTCGGATCGACACCGAACACCACCGCCTTGATCGCACCAGCGATGATGCTCTTCGACGTGGGCTCGCTGTTGCAGATCGCCACCAGGCTGAGATTCGTGGCGTTCTTGGTTGAAGAAGTTCTTTTCGTGTGGTGGAGGAGTCTGCACAGGAACACTGCCAATCAGGGTCTGTCCCGTCGGAAAGTGGACTTGTGCACGATTCCAGCACACTTGTCGTGCCGGGATAAAACCAGGGAAGCCTGGGACGTGGTTTTTTCTTCCTGTGCCTCCGCCCGCTCACTTTTCTTCTCCCGCGCCTCGCACCAGACCACACAGCCCAGGTACGCACTGCCTTCATCTAGATCCCTGTACATCTCTCGGAGCTCTCCTCCGATGTGGCGATGATTAAAAAACTTTGCCTTACCCGAATTGATGCGTTCCTTCGGCTCATGTCTCTTCACTGGGAGTATTGCTGATGTTGGACGGGACAATAAGGAAGATAAATACTCACGCATCTCTAAGCCACCGCATTTTTCCCTCTCTGTTCACCTCTTCCTCTCCCTACACCATTTCGCTAACGTCTCTCAACTCTCAGGTTGATCGGATCCTTCTCCGGCGCATGTCAATTGGCTTTTGATAAAGGTAAAACATCCCTCCTCCGTCGCTTATGGAAGCTGGGTTTGCTGCCTGATGATAATACAACAGACAAACCACTGAGAGATTCTCTGAATTAAAACTAAATCACTCCACTCTGATTCAAACACCGTTTCATTTCCTCCCAAAGCTTTATCTCGCCTCATGTCTCATTCACACACTCGGCACTCACTCACCTTTCTTTTCCCTTTCTTTACAGGTACGGTGACACTTCCCGAAGTACAAGATTCTAATGTTATCTTGCACATCTCTGTTGAATAAATCTTTCAATCTGATACCAGCATGACGTCAATACATTTTGGAGAAGTCGTTCCACCTTTCTGTCCGACGCAACAGGAACAGGGACGATCGGGCAATAAGCGATCCCCGTGGCATCACTCCCCTGGGGACTGGTGGCTTGTGTGGCCAGCGACACACCACACACACGACACACAACACACACACACGCAACACCCCACACAAACATGGAAGAGGAGAAGACCGAGGTGGCATCACCTGGAGAGGAGCCGCCAACTGTGATGGAAGAAGAACAACCACAAAGAGAAGAAGGGGGCAAAGGCAAAGATGAAGGTAAAGATGAAGGGGGGGAGCCAGAAGGTCCCTGGCGCCACCGCGACGACCGTAGCATGCTGTTGAGTGAGGCCGAGAAGGAGCGAACCTTCATGTTCGCCTCCCAGCGCCTCATCTTTCGGCCAGGGGGCGCCTCAAGTACCACACCAGCCGGTTGGGCTCTGGGCAGCGCCACCCGGGGCGAGCGCGCCGCCACCTTCCTGCCCTCTGCCTCGCCGGCGGCGTCTTCTTCCCCTTCGGCCCCACTCTGGGGGGCACGGCCCGCGGTGACGGCGTCGGGCGGAGCGCCCACGCGACAGGGCGCCATTCTTCTGTCGCGCGAACGTACCGCCTCGCCCACTCCCACCTCGCCCAGGGATGGCGACAAAGAAGAAGAAAACGGCACAACAAAGAACGAAAGCGAAGAAAAGAACGAAAGCGACGAAGAGGTGCAGGGGCAAGAGGAGGAAAGAGAGAAGGCAGGAGCGACGGCGACGGCGGGCGAGCAGCTGCTGGACGTGTCGGAGGAGACCGAGCAGCAGAGGGAGCCGTGCCCAGACGGGGTGGACTGCCGGAGCGAGGACCCGCGCCACTTCATCCTCTTCCTCCACACCGCGCGCGACGAGTTCGCGGAGCCGTCGGCGTCGCCGCCGGCCTTGTTCAGGAACCGCTCCATCCTGTTCACCTCCAGCTTCGACGCTCTGCAGCCCATCACGACCAGCGAAAAGGAGATGCCGTCGAACAATGACAGCAACGACGCGCTGACAGCCAAGCGCGCGCTGCTGCGGCGGTCGACCAGCTTCGATTCGGGCCTCAAGCGCGAGATCTCGTTTTCCAGCCTCGGCGGCGGCCTGGCAGCGGTGGGTCCGAGCGGGTCGTCCGACAACAGCGAAAAGAGCGGGTGGCTGCACAAGCGAGCCGCCCTGCGCAAGGTCTGAAGCTTTCGCGCTCGTGTGGACTGATGGTTGTCTCCTCGCTCCTGACATCTCGCCGTGTGTCGTGCGTGTCGTGTGCCGCAGAACTGGGTGTGCTATTGGTTTGTGTTGCGGCCGCAGACGAGGCAGCTGTTGTACTACAAGGCCCGGGCGGACACGACGGCGCAGGGCAAGGGTCCCGAGGGATCGGTGTGGCTGGATGACGCCAGCACCCTCCCCGCGCCCGAATCCGACGACCGCGCTCACTGCTTCCGCCTCTGCACGCCGCGCAAGACGCTCCAGCTCTCGGCTCTGGGTACGCCCACACGGCTCTGGCTGCTGTCTCTCTTGGACTCATCGCGCTGCTCTGTTTGTATTACCGCCACCTGCTTGTAGACGAAGAATCCAAGTGGAGCTGGATCAGGGCCATCACCGTGGTGCGCATCCACTCCTCTCTCGAACTCTTCATAGCGTTTGTCGCGTGCTGTGTGGGCGTTGCTGATCTGTTGTGTGCAGGCTGCTTCGCGAGGGATGAAGTCCCCGCCGAGCGGTGACCAATCGCCGCTGGTGTTCGGGAAGGGTCTCAAGGCCAGCGGCAACGGCAGCCTGTTCGACTTCTCCACGTCCTTTCGGCAGCTGCCCGAGGCGTCGCGCACGCCGGGCGGCGAGGAGGCCGACAAGCAGTACAACGCAGAGCGCGAGCGGCAGGAGAAGAAGCGAAAGGAGAAGAAGAAGCGCGAGAAGGAGAAGAACTACGCCAAGGAGTACGGGCGGAAGATCGACTGGACCGGGCGCGACCTCAAGGTCCTCCCGGAGAAGCTCTACGAGTTCGCCAACTTCGACGGGCTCACGAAGCTGGTGGTCCGGGCCAACCAGCTGTCGGCCTTCCCGGGCGAGCTCTCCATGCTCCGCGGCCTCACCTACCTGGACTACTCCGAGAACCTCATCAAAGGTGCGTCCACACGCCCGGCCTTTCCCTTGGAATGCGAGGCATACATTCGCGCTGACATCGGTTATGTGTTGTGTTGTGTTGTGTTGTGTTGTGTGTCGTGTGGTGTCCGCAGAGCTGCCCAAGGAAATGGGAGCGATGTATCGATTGAAGGAGCTGTACCTCGAGTCGAACCGACTGGAGCGCTTGCCGCCAGAGCTGGGCAAGCTCACACGCCTCCGGGTGCTCAACATAGGAAACGTGCGTAATCTCCTTACCCCCCCTTAGCGCTCGTTGTTGATCGCTGTGATTCCTCACTCGGTTGTTTGCTGTGCGCAGGGTCAAGACTGGTATAACGTGGTGGAGGCTCAGCGTTCGGCCAACAAGATCCGGAGCCTGCCCGACGAGATCGCCCAGCTGGCCCACCTACGCTCGTTCGACTGCAGCAACAACGCCATCTCCGCCATTCCGCCCGGCTTCTTCGACAACTGCACCAAGCTCGTCAAGCTGGACCTAACCGGCAACCAGGTACTCACTCGCCCGAGTTGTACTGTAGCTCTCGTCGGTGGAGGAGACGCTTATGGTGTGTGTGTGTGTTCACTGGCTTGGCGTGGTGCGGTGAAAGATTGTGCGACTGCCGGGCAGCCTGGGCCGGCTCGTGCAGCTGGAGAAGCTGCTGGTCTCGCACAACAAGATCGAGGAGCTGCCGCCGCAGGTTGGCTGGTTGCGTCAGCTCAAGCTGCTCCACCTGGTCGATAACAAGCTCAGCCGACTTCCGCCCCAGGTACGCGTAATCCTCACACACACACATACACACACACCGCACGCACGCACGCACGCACGCACAACACGTAGTGTATTATTGTAACCGATCGGTCGGTGGACAGGTTGGGCACTGCAGCCGGCTGGAGCAGCTCTACATGGAAGACAACCCCATCAAAGACCCACCGCGTCACGTCTTCAAGCTCGAGCTCACCGAGCTTCTTCTCTATCTCAGCGTACAGCTCTGCATCCCCGTTCCTCCGCCTTTCGGGCGGCCTTAGATTTCTCCCACGTCTCGCTCACCGCACACGCACGCGCAGGATTTGGGCAAAGGAGAGGAGCAGTGCTTCCGCACGCGCGTGGTGCTGTTCGGAGACGACGACAAGGACAAGCTGTTCAAGGCGATCGACGGGAAGGGGCGCTACCGCCGGTGAATCGCTCGCCATCGCCACCACCACGCTGAAGATCAAACACGGCCTCCTTCCTGCAGGTAACCCACCGTCTTCAGCTTCATCTTCGTGTGCGTGTGCGGTGGTGCGTGTGCGTGTGGGAGAGGTGGTCTAAGCCGAGCTATGATTATCAGGTGTCAATCCGACGCTCGATGTGTGGAGCTTCGCCAGCGAGCTCAGCCGGCCGATGCTGGATCCAGAGGCGCTGCTGCCGCGGCTGTTCATGACCGACGAGGTGGTGGTGATCCATTGCCATCCGCTTCGACGCCATCGACGCCGACACCCTGGCCAAGTGGTTCGCCATGCTGCGCGCCAACTCCCCGCGATCGCCCGTGGTCGTGCTGGCCTGCGCCGCGCAGCCGTTCCCGCCGGCCCAGCACCGCGAGATCGTGGCCGACCTGAAGGCCAAGTGCGACCGTGAGCGGGGCGACCTCAACGTGGCGCTGGTCGACCTGCTCAGCGTCAAGGGCAACAAGGACCTCAAGGCGCTGGTGCCCGTGCTGGTCGACATCGCGCTGCGGCATGTCAGGCCCATGGGCCGCCCCGTACAGCGCGGCCTGCACCAGCTCGAGCAGATCCTGGGCAGCAGCTGCGTTGACACGAGCAGCTCGACGGCCAGCCTGCCCACTCTGCTCCTGGCGCCCGGCGGCAGCGACGGAGTCCAGGGACCGGTCATGGGGATGGACGCGTGGGCCGAGCTGTGCGCGCTGTGCGGGGTGGCGACCGACGAGCAGCAGGCGCACGCGCTCAAGGTGCTGGCCTCGTGGGGCGTCCTGGTGCACGTGCCGGCCGGGATGATGGCCAAGGAGGCCTTCATCGTGCCCTCTGCGCCGTGGCTGCTGGCGCAGCTCACCACCTACGACGCCGCCTCCTAGACGTGCCCTCCACATTTGTAACTCGTATGGAAGTAAGGCAATAACACCTCTTTGTACATCATCATCATCATCATGGTGATCGCAGGAGTACAAGACGAGAGGCCATCATCTGCTGGCACTCGGGGGAAGCTCTCTCACCAGGCGAGCTGCTGGCCATCGAAATTGAAGAAGGAGCCGTTGTCGTCCTTCTTCAGTCCCTGCAGCACGCTCACGATGCCCTTGGCGCTCTTTCCAAAGTGAAAAAAGGCGGCGCACAGTGAGCTCTCACTGTCTGCTCAAGAAACGTGAAAAAGAGGAAGAGGACAGGCTGGGAGGCACCTGCTCGGGCGTCACCGGTGGCTTCCTTCCGTGGGAACTGCCCAACTCTGTCTGCACCCAGCCTGCACATCCAGCAGCACACGTGCGTGGTGGGAACAGAGCTCGAGGAGCGTTCGCCTGGAGGTTGGCAGGTGGGGGAGGGATACCAGGATGGATGGCAATGTGGATGCACTCGTCGGCATGCTCCACGGCAAAACACTTCGTGAGCATGTTGAGGGCGGCCTTGCTCACCCTGTACGAAGCCGACGTCGCTCCTCCTCGCGAAATGTCTGCATGAATAAATAACAACAATAATAAATAATAATAAATAAATAACCGAAACAAACAATGAATGTTCTGTGGCTCACCTTGGTAGAGCGAGATGGAGCCCATGCGCGAGGACACGTTGACGACCTTGGGCAGCGCCGAGGCCAATGATGATGATGATGAGGAAGCGAGGAGGAGGGGATAGAAGGTCTGGGTCACGAGCATGGGGCCGACCACGTTGGTGGTGAACACACTCTGCATGTCCTCCGCGGTGGCCTCCAGCACAGGCTCGTCAGGGTGCTTGGCCGTGGCCACGCCGGCGTTGTTGATGAGCACGTCCAGCGAAGTCAGGCCCAGCTCGCCCGTCACCGTGGCCAGCGCCGCCGTCACGCTCCGCCCGTCGCTCACGTCCAGTGGGACCACGCCCAGCAAGCGGCCGCTGCCGACACCGCTGCCGGGTGTGCAGCAGGTCCTGCAGGCCGGTGGAGGTGGCCGGCGCCCGGCAAGTGGCCACCACAGCGTAGCCCTCTCCCAGCAGCTCCTTCACCTGTGGCCATTGGCATACGGGGGGGGGAAGGCTTTGTTTTGTGTAGCAGGGGGGGGGAGGATGGGGTACAGCAGTGTACCAGCTGCAGGCCAATCCCGCGAGAGGCGCCAGTGACTAGTGCGGTCTTCATGTGAGCGGTGTGGATGTGTGCAATGGCCATTCTGCGCCGCACTGCACTGCGCCTTTTGGTTTTTGAAGACGCGCGTTCGAATCCAAACGGCTGGTTTTTCTCAAATTAATCGTACCGTACTGGCCGAGGGACCTCAATTCCGAGACCGGCCTCAGAGGCACTGCCGTGGCTGTGGGCAAAGAGTGTAGGCCAGAGGGCGCTTAGGTTCGAGGAAGGAGGACTGAGATCTGACGCGTCGGGGCTCGCAGCGGGTTGTGCTGGGGCGCCCGCCACCCACATCCGAGGGCGAGCTGACGGGTCAAGGTTGCACTCTCCTCTGCTGCCTGCACTCTACCACCTGGTCGGTTTGCAGAGATGGTTCAGTCGGAGTCGCCCGCCTGTGGGTCGGTTGGAGAAGGCCTCCCTCCTTGTTGCCGTCCTTGCCTGGGTCGTTCCGAAACTGATTGTTTCTGTCATGACCCCAAGAGTGCCAAATTTCGCACCAACCGGATCCACTGGTGGCGGGAGCACCAGACTGGTTTTGGGTCCTCGTCGATCTGTTCACCCGCGGGACGAGAACAGACAGCAGGTCACACAGGGCTCAGCGCCAGCCTTGTGCGACGACCACCGAAGGAGGCCCCCATTTCCTATTCACACCAACATCATAACATCATCCTTTCGTTCTTTATTCTGTTTTGCGGCACACCTTGCGAGCACACTCCTGTCCACCACTACCCAACTCTCAGAGCCAGCAGCAACCACGGACCATGCGCTGCCTGGCACTGTGGATCGCGTTTGCCTGCCTGTGCCTGAGCACCGGTACGATGCTTGTCGCCTATTATGTTCGCAGCCCTAAGAAGAGAGTCAGTCTGCTGACTTTGGGTTTATGATCTTAGGTGTGGTGGGCGATCAACTGTACGGAGGGGGGTCAAGCAGCGTGGTGAGCCTCTTCACAACATGGGCGGCCAATTATCCCTACAACACTGATAGCGTGAGCATCGGGTACTCGGAGGCTGACACCGCGACGGCCCAGGCGAGCTACGAGCTGGGCCTCATAGACTTCGTCAGCCTCGACAGCCCCGTGAACTCGAGCACCCTCGCCGGCCTCCGGTCCATGCAGCTGCCCATCGCCGGCGGTGCCATCGTGGTGAGCTACAACCTGGCCGGCTACCTCACCCCCGGCGTCGACGCCCTCTACCTGGACCTGCCCACCCTTGCCGCCATCTGGATGGGCTCCATAACCAGGTGACACCTTTAGCCTAGCTTGATAGATGACGGCCTGTGACTGACGTTTGATGATCAACCGTTGTTTGTTTGCTTGTTTTTCATGTTGATCATTGCATTATTTTATTTATTGTGTTTGACTTCTGACCGGGCGTGGTGGTGGCTGCGACGCAGTTGGAATGACTCGCGTATTGCGAGCCTCAACACGCCGGCCGTGGCTGCCCTGCTGCCGTCACTCAACATTGAGCTCGCGTTACGCAGCACGTCCTCGCTCGGCCTCAACGCAGTTTTCGCCCGCGCCCTCTCCGCGGTCGACCCCTCCTTCTCCGCTGCGCTTGCCGCCGCCGGTGGCCACCTCGAAGGCCTGGCCAACAATGCCGTCGTCTTCCCCAACACCACCTCCGCCCTCACCAGCGTCAAGGTCTTCCCCCCAAATCTTTTTTTCTCTTCTTCACCAATCTTGGAGTGCCCTAACGGGGGGGGGGTGGTTGTGGAAGTGCAGGCGACTGTGGGAAGCATGACCATCAGCAGTTGGGCGGCGGCCAAGAGCGCGGGCACGACCTTCGCATCGATGGTGAACCGCGCTGGAAAGAAGGTGGCGCCGTCGACGGCCTCGGTGCAGGCTGCCATGTACGACTACCGAGCTATCTTTGACAGCGGCGCGCAGGCGGCCGACATCTTCAACGGCAACGGGACGGCGTCGTGGCCCCTGGCCTACCTGCAGTACGTGGTGCTGAACAAGAACGTGAGCACCCTGGCCTGCTCGCCGATGCAGAACCTTCTGCTCTTCCTGAGCTGGACGCAGATGAACGACTACGCCATCAGCCTCTCCAACGCGCAGTTCTTCCCGGCCCTGGTGACCAACCTCCAGAAGCTCTTCGTCGATTCTCTGGAGACCGTCGGCTGCTCCAACGGCGCGCAAGCGCTCCAGACCGCAGTGCTGCTCGGCGTGGGCAGCCCACAGCCGCTCTTCTCCGCCTGGGCGTATGTTCTCCACCACTACCACTATCATTATTATCTGGGATTTGTGGCCTAACTTGACGCTGATCGTGTGTTGGGCTGTCACCACCACCACCACCACCAACAGGAGCTCGTACCCTTCTTCCACCTTCCTCGTCAAGTACTACCAGCAAACGACAACGCCGCAGTTACGGAGATGACGGCCCAGGACGTGGACTTTGGCGTCACCGCTGTCGGCCTCACTGACGCCGGTACATTCATCTTTCACCACGACAGTGACCACTATCACCGCACCTTCCACGCTCGCACGGTTGCAGCTGCCGTAATCAAACTCAAACTTTTTTGTACCTTGCAGAATCTGCGGCGATGCCCGACGTGGTGCTGTTCCCGGCGGTGGCCTCGCCAGTCGTTCCGGCCTACAACCTGCCGGAGCTCCTCGGCAAGCCGCCGCTGGTGCTCAACTTTCAGATCCTGAGCGACATCTACCTGGCGCACATCAGCCACTGGAACGACTCGGCCATCGCCGCCCTCAACCCCGGCGTGACCTTGCCCAACCAGCCCATCTACGTCATCGTGCAGAACATGTCGTCGGTCAGCAATTTCCTGGCCACCTCGGCCCTGGCCGGCACAGTGCCCGAGTTCAACACCACGGTACGCCTGACAAAACGCAGCACGTGATCTAGGCAACGGCTGACCTACGTTTCGGTGCATGGTTGTCTGCACCAGGTGGGTGCGGGGTACCAGGTCAACTTCCCGGTCGCGAACACCAGCCGTTGCATTGTCACGCCATCGACCAACGTGCCTGACTTGCTCGCCGCCAATCGCTATTCGTTCGCCTTCTGGTCCTACTACCCCGTTCTCCAGAAGCGCGTGCTTCAGTCCGCGTCGCTGGTTAACCTGGCCGGAACGTGCGTAACATTGCAACCCAGCCTTCCTTTGATCATACTCACTTCCCGGGTCACTGTGTTGTGTGTGTTATGCAGAGGCGTGGTATCGCCAGGTACGAAATCTGTAGCCTCGGCGCTCAACGACTTTGGTGCCTCGACCAAATTCACCAATCTGTTACTGGGTGCGTCCTGCCGTCTTCTTCACACCTTTTGTGTAAACGTTCGGCACATAGTTGATATCTGAAATCTATTCTCACTTTGGCAAAACACAGGTAAAAGCAACGAGAGCTGGCCCATCGCCACGGTGATATCGGTCATGGTCCTTCGTACGCAAATGAAGAACTGTGATAAGGCCGCAGCATTGGCCGATTGGATACTGTGGACACAGACCAGCACGCTCGCCTCGCAGGTGGCCGGCCATTTCGGCCAAACGACGGCCAGCATGGCTTCGGTCATGAAGAAGGTACACTTGTACAAATCACGCCAACGACTTGTGCGTTTGTTTTTTACTGACACACACTTCCGCCGTGCGTGCGTGTCACCTATATAGATTGTGTTAACAGAGCTGACAACGTTGACGTGCGACGGCATTCACGTGAGCAGCGTCCACGGCTGCGTTAAAGACGGTGTACTCTGCAACGACGTCGGCACATGCGTCAACCAGGCGTGCGTATGTAACTCAGGCTGGACGGGCGAATTCTGCCAGGAAGTCGTGAGTTCCAGTTCTGGCAGCAGTGACCTGGCGCTCCCCATCGCCCTCGGTACCACACTTGCACGCTTCACAAACAGCGATCGGAGATCTCTTGACTTACCATCGAATGTGTGGGATGGCAGCTGTGATCATTCCGATAGTGGTGCTCCTGGTGCTGCTCTTGGCGATCTTCTTTTGCTGCCTGCTCTTCTTCGTGCGCAAGTCGCGCGTGCATGATGACTGGTCCATCAACTTCGAGGAGCTCGAGCTGCAGGACCTTCTGGGTGCTGGCGGATATGGCGAGGTACCTTTTCTTTCCTCTTGCGCGCATCTTTCACGCCACAAAAGCTCTGGTCACCAACGGTGGTGGTACTACTTGTCGTGATCCAGGTGTACAGAGCAGTGTGGAAAGGAACTGAGGTCGCCGTCAAGGTGATGTCCTCCAAGGACGTGACTAAGGACATGGAGAGAAACTTCAGGGAGGAGGTGAGCCTGATGACCTTGTCCCAACTGGTATTGTGGCCTCACCTCTCTCTCTCTCTCTCTGTGTGTGTGTGTGTGTGTGTGTGCGTGCGTGCGTGTGTTATTTAGGTGCGCGTGATGACGGCGTTGCGGCACCCCAACGTGGTGCTCTTCATGGCCGCCTGCACCAAGCCACCCAAGATGTGCATCGTCATGGAGTACATGGCGCTCGGCTCCCTATATGACGTACCCAGACCCTAATCTCAATTTCCTTGGGGCTTCATGCGTGTACTTACCAAGTACACCTGGTCTCATTTTTTTCTGTCGTGTGGCCGTGCAGTTGCTGCATAATGAACTGGTGCCGGAACTGCCATTTGCGCTGATCTGCAAGATCGCCTACCAGGCGGCCAAGGGCATGCACTTCCTGCACTCGTCGGGCATCGTGCATCGCGACCTCAAGTCTCTTAACCTGCTGCTCGACAACAAATGGAACGTCAAGGTACCGGATGACCTCTTCCAACGTTGATGACCGTCTGATACTGACGTATGTACCTGAATTGTTACGTGGTTGTGGCAGGTGGGAGACTTTGGGCTGACCAAGTTCAAGGGTCAGTTGGGCAAGAGCGTGGTCAAGGACGTGCAGGGCACTGTCCAGTGGCTGGCACCAGAAGTACTGCAGGAGGCTCCCGAGATCGATTACATTCTGGCCGACGTCTACAGCTTCGGTATCATCCTCTGGGAGACTCTCACCCGCGAGCAGCCCTACTACGGAATGACGTATGTTTGCCCCCGCATCACTTTCTCTTTCTCGTCGCCCGTAAGTCCACCGCGCCCGTAACACTCTCTGGCGTGGTGTGTCATGTGTGTGTAGGCCTGCGGGTGTGGCGGTGGCGGTAATCCGTGACAACATACGACCGCCCATTCCGGCCGGCGCACCGCCAGAGTACGCACAGCTGGTGGCCGACTGCTGGCATGTCGATCCGACCATCCGGCCTACGTTCCTCGAGGTCATGAATCGGCTCGTGACCATGTCCGGCTCGTCCCTCACCCAGTCCAGTCACTCCTCCACCGCCTCCTCATCATCCATCGCGTCTGGCCCCAAGGACCACTTGGCGTCGTGGATCGTTCGTGCGGGCAAGTCTTCCGATACGTCGTCCGACTACGGTTCGGCCTCGAGCAAATCGGACCCCAAGGCGCCCATGGGCGGGCGACTGGACGGTACGGCGGAGCACGCGCCGCGCGGCGAGGTGGCCATCGTGTTCTCCGACATCACCTGCTCGGCCACGCTGTGGGAGTTCGACCCGAGCGCCATGCGCGACGCTACGATCCTGCACAACGAAATCGCACGCGACGCGCTCAAGCGGCACAACGGGTACGAGGTCGTGGCCTTTAGCAAGGACAGCTACCGCAACTCGGGCGAGGGGTCCTTCTGCCTCGCCTTCCAGCACATCGAAGACGCCCTGGAGTGGTGCATGGATGTACAGGCGGCTCTTCTTCACGCCAGTTGGCCTGAATCTCTCCTCAAACATCCCGGTGCGGCTGAAGAAGGCGACGAACGGTACTGTTTCATCCCTCCTAGCACAAGCCCTCGATATGGAAGAAAAAGCTGACTGTTTGCTTCGTTCTTCGCTTTTCTTTCTTCTTCGTTCTTCTGTACTTGCTCAGAACGCTATTCAACGGCCCGCGGGTCCGAATGGGCGTGGCGGTGGGAAATGCGAAGACGGTGAGGGATCCGATGACCCGACGCCTGGAATATCTGGGGCCGGTGGTCAACCACGCAGCGTTCCTGACGTCGCGGAGCCACGGCGGACAGGTCCTCCTCTCCGCGGCCGCCCACGAAAAGGCCCGAGAAACGCCGCTGGGCAAGGAGAGAAAGCGCATCATCGCGCTGGGGACGATTGAGACGCCCGACTCTGGAGCTACAGGTACTACTGCGCTCCTAACGGCTACGACGACTCGATATCTTGCATCTCACTGAGTGCTCATTCGCTCATCATTACTTTTCTGTGGTCTTGCCCTTCGTCAGGAGGAGAGCGGGTGTACGAGCTGAAGATTCGAGGGCTGGAGGGCCGGTTCTTTGGCGGGGTCATGATGGGCGATGCGTCGTCGACGACTGGCACCGGGACCAGCCATTCGGGAAGCGGCCGGGCAGACCGCGACGACGATTGGGTGGAACCAACGAAGACGGGCGACGACGAGTATCAGATGACGCATCGACCGGACGTTGCCTACCACGAAGACAACTTCCTCACGTCGGCCAACCTCTGCCGGTGGATCATCAACTTCGAGGACATCCAGATGGGCCGGCAGGTGGGCCTGGGCTCCTACGGCGTCGTGTACCGCGGTCGGTGGAAGGGCGTCGAGGTGGCGGTGAAGCGGTTCATCAAGCAGAAGCTCGACGAGCGATGCATGCTCGAGTTCAGGGCCGAGATGGCCTTCCTCTCGCAGCTGCACCACCCCAACATCGTCCTCTTCATCGGTACATGTCGCCGCCTCTCATT